CCGGTCGATAGGCGCCCTGCCCCGGCGGCTGGGCGGCGGCGGGCTCATACCAGTACAGGCCGGCGGGCCAGCGCGAGCCTCCGGCACCGAACTCACCGCCGCCTGAAACACCGGCGGAGTGGACCGTGAGGATGAGAGCGATTAAACCAGTTCTAGTTTTAGACAGGAATGGAGCACCTGTCAACGTTCTCTCGAATTTCCACAGGCTGGCTGAAGGAAAGAGTCGAAATGAGGCGACTGCGCTGAAGCATGTGACCGGAAGGATTTTGACTTTCAAATATGGGATGGTGCCCGGTTGAAATAATTCATTGCGCCAGAGAAATTGATCACACTACAATCATATTGCTCATCTTGTCTCCACAGACCAGGTGAAGGTGTGAGCCAATGTCTTTTATTCCGCACCGCTGAAATACAGCGTGCTATAGCTACACTCCGGTACTACACTATGCTACAGGCAACACAAACACATCTAGAGAGGAAAAAAGTTTGGACGATGCCAAAATAATCTGACCACCTCGCCAAACCCATGATAACTTAATTGAAGGTAGAAACCATCCAGATAGCCTGTAAAATAAACCTTACAAAAACTCATAGCCCACATGCTTTCAAAAGCCGCCTATTCAAAACTTGCCTCACTGGACGCTCAACGTTTCTTTTTAAGAGAGACATCATTAACCCCTTTGTATCAATGTCACGAAAGGAGGAGCGGTCGCCGTTTGGCCCGTCGGCCGACAGACGACAGACAAAAAGTGCCAAATTGCGTCAAAGTACACCACCAGCGACCCGCAGCCACACATAACCATAAGCCCAGCGAGTCTTACACTTATAGCCGCAGACCCGGCAGGTAATGCCCAGTCCCCACAGTCAATCGATTTCCGCCAATCAGCTCAAAAAGAACCATAACAAAATACGATATCCCATCTGGGTAGCTTAGGTGAGATTCGCATTACAACGCAATATTTGAAACTACAGCTGTCACACCAAGCTCACATAACGGAAGCTCGTATTTATGATTTGAAAGTAACTGCAAAAAGCTAAATGTACCATTTGAGCGAATAAGCCCAGGAGTCTTCTACATATAGATCATACAGCCACGGTAATGCTCGTTCCACCATCGTCCGTTCCAGCCCAGAGCACCATTCACGTATTTCCCGAATAGGCCTGCGAATGATAGCGCTGGATGTGGACTTTTAGGTGGCCCTTCTGACTGAGGACCTTGTTGCAGTAAGGGCACGTGGTCTCCCCCCGGTGCATGGCCTGGTGGTTGCGGAAAGTAGATGGCGCGTAGAACAAACGACCGCACAGCTCACACGGTCTGCCCGCCGAAAAATCTGAAACAGAGGCCACGTGACTCTGTAAAAATCCAGGAAGTAATGGAGTAACGCCATTCACAGATACTCTCCAAGAGATGCTTTTTACGTTTTCCATCACTACAGAAAATCGTCATTAGTTGCTCAAACTGGCAAATGATATGATGAAATTTAGGCGTTAATAACACATAACATCTGAGACTTATCAGGCGGTGGTAAAATCGTTGTATTTCTACATAACATCACGAAACTTCGTATGAAAAACGAAACTTGTTGAAAAATCATATTTGCTCTCTCATGACCTTTTAGGACCAATTTGGTCACCTAAGCTTCTGGCAGGAAAATTCAGAAAATGTTTTAAAAGCTACATATTGCTTTTGTGCGCGCTCCTTACTTTTTTGTTTGCGAGATGCGGCGTCGCCTTGTCTGATATGGTGGATCTTCACAAAAAATAATAAAATTTGACCTTTGACGGCCTCTAGTGGCGACATTTTTTCTACCTTGTCGAAAATTACCTCCATATTTTCGACAAACCTTTTACGAGCTTTCAAAAACCGTTTGTCGTTTCACACTTCATTGCCTCGTAATGAACGCCTGGAACAATTATACACGCTTCAAACCCATCAATTGCGCAAGGGTCAAATCGCCACTGACCAGTGTCCACCCAACAACCGAAACACGATGGAGGCGACAGCGAAAGCAGTTTATTTATTCAATTAAAGTGTTCAGACGAAACGCAAAAACTTAAGACAGGCGCAAATCGCAATCTACATGGTATCAAGGACCGACCGGTCAAAGTTTGTCACATAGGTAGGTCGCCAAACATTTTCTTTGTGCGCAGCAGCCAAACGTTTCTGTCAAATAAATGGCATGTAGCACGACCCCGCCACTATTTGGCCGGCATCCGCTAAACGACAAGCTCATGATGCCTTTCTGAATGTGGACATGCGCAGAGAAGGGAAGTGGATTTTCTTAATTGGTCCGTGGGTGCCGGCACCGGATGTGCACTTTCAGGTGGCCCTTGTGACTGAAGATCTTGCTGCAGAAAGGGCACGTGGTCTCCCCTCGGTGCAGAGCCAAGTGGCCGCGGAAGGTGGAGTACGCGGAGAATTCCCGACGACACACCTTGCAAACGAATTTCGGTGACCACACTGAAACAAACACACCGCAGATATCAGGCAGGGGAAAAACTATTTCCGAACAATTGGTCCCCGTCCAATATATGTACGGCTGCATGACGTCTATCTCATTCAAGTTACAGAATTCAAATGGGTAAAATGTTTTTACCGAAAGAATGTCTTACCAAATAATCTACTGGCCCCCTGAGACGTTCCGCTGCTGGTGGACATTGGCCATGTGTCGACTGAGGCTGCCCTTTTGACTGAAAACTTTCAGACAGACTGGGCAGATTGTCTCACCACGGTGCATCGCCTTGTGGTGTGAGAGAGTTGAGAGGCTGGCGAACGAACGCGGGCAGAGCTCACACTGCCAAGGCCCGCCTGTGGATAAACATTGTTCTGACTACCTTGTGGACCAGAATAAGGTAGCGAGAAACGTATTGTTGGGGTCGGTTCAGATGAAATAAAATGAATTGTGATATGTTCATTGTTCATACAGTCATAAATCCTGTACATTCTCCAAGACTCGATCTGGCAAAAAATTATCACCGCAAAAATAATAACAGTGTCCGCTAGTCTGCTGACGAACGGAATCACGAATCACCAGGAAGACATCTCGTCAATCAACAAACTGAGGCGGAAATGCACGATGGCCATGCCAATGCATGTCATATGCTTAGTGAGTCCGAGCGGATGTTTAGATTGTCCGAGTCAAGATTCTTCAACATAATCCGAGTGAGGTTCTGACGACCTATACAGGTGCCACGTACAGCCCTCTGCACACTGCGTGGTAGGTATTCTTTTTTCGACAAAACCGATAATAACTCAAAGATTATGTTATCAGTCGGTCGAAACTCATTGCACATAGATGCGCCATGCTCCACTCCTTCGATTGTGTCTATCACTAAACAAAGTATACGCCTAGTGTGGCAGCAAAATGCAAAAGTTTGTTTTGGGGGCAAATATAAACTTTTGTGTTTTGTTGCCAAACTAGATGGAAAATCTATACCACGAAAAGTCTAATCTAAGGTACGGAGCCTCGCGCGTCTTGCTGTCACGATTTCCGAGTGACATATAGCATAGTATTCGAGTTATTCTCGGTTTTGTCGGAAAAAGAATACCTACCACGCAGTGTGCAGAGGGCTGTACTTCCGTATAAAATGACAGGACATTTCGACACTGGTTCTCAGAGTTGTGTCAATGGAAAGATCGTTTCCTTTTAATCATCTCAGGCCTTCAGTACCAACAATATGTAGGCATAACCCATTATCTCTTGAGAAAGCTCGCAGATGCGTTATGTTTCCTGAACGCGAAGAGCTATGCTAACCTATCTGCCGTGACTGCCTATAGATTATGACCAGTCATAAAACCCTACAAAGCGAATATCACATTCACGCATAGCTATTTATCAACTCTTGCATAGCTGTGTTTCGTCGTCACGCCAAGGCACATTCGTTAAAAAAAGTTTAAATGAGTTTTTATTGACGTCGGAGACCAGATATGTATTAACAAAGCTGGTAAAATTTATTTTCACGCGCCTAATCACGCTAGAGACATAACACGGGCGAGGACATAAATAGACGTTCACAGTAAAAGAAGAATAAGCTGTCCATTCGGACAGAACACGCAGTATCTGGTTCACTGCAATCCTTTGTCTGCTCTATAGGTTTTGTCTCCTCGTGGTCTGCAATTGCATACAACGCCAAACTTCCTCCCAGAAATCCTACTGGCCTTCTGAGGAGTAGAGAGCCGGACTTCCTCCCAGAAATCCTACTGGCTTCCTGGCGAGTACTCTGGATGCATCATGACTATGTGCCGAGTGAGGTTGATCTTTTTACTGAGAGCCTTCCGACAAACAGGGCAGCCGGTCTGGCCACGGTGAAGTGCCTTGTGCTGTGAGAGGCTCGCCAGGCTGGCGAACAGCCGGTTGCACATCATGCACTTCACAGGCCCGTCTGCAAGTGGAGATCAAATCACACTGACATATGCATCGTGATACGGCGGCGAGAAATGGTTTGTGAGAGTCAGGTTAAATCGCTGAATTAATGAAAAAAATATATCTTATGGAAAGCTGAAGTTACAGATATTCTGAATATCTTACACAAACGATATTTTTCAGAAATAAACATGGCATATAAATATGTATTCTTTTAATTTAGCTCGAATACTAGGATAGACGGATAGTAAGAGCCGGAGCCCACACAAGCAGAGCTTGCTGCGCAGGTCTCAGCCTCTACCTTACGACCGGGCAATGCCATGTTGAATCGGGATAATCTATGTAGATGTCGTTCCCAGACCCACTCAACTGATTTTAACTGGTTCCTCTCACCAACCACAGGCCAGCCCCGCCAGGAGTCTCTTAGATGGAGAGCACGTGTGACTCGAGCCCGAGTTATCACAACCCCGAGTTCAAAGCTCATAGAGACTAGAGACCATCCAGTATCCAAACGTAAGCCGCAAACCCTCCCAAGAGTAGCCCACAAAATCAGAACATACTCCTTGTAGTATTTGACACCTTTTGGCATACGCTTCGAGTCTTCTGACCAGGTCATCGCACATTCAAACCGACGTGTTACAAAACGAGACTTTTATTCACTCGAGACCGCATGAGTTGCGAGAGAGGTACAAAGTTGATTCAAAAGCATCCACCTAATTAAAATCACGAAAAAAGAACGAACGGGAGGAAGCTCCTGCAAAGCCATTCGACAACTACCTTGCCAAAAACCAGAAATCAGAATGCTACTACATAGAACTAGTCACTACAAGATATATTACAGAGAACACCTTAGAAAAACATGAACTAACGAGTGAAAGAGAAAAACTGCAGACAAGACACCTTTCAAACTTCTTTTCATTTGTTGAGCATTCTCGTTTATTGATTAACTTCAGGTCTTACATTCGCTCTACGTTCTCTACCATTCTACAAGGAAAAAGGTGACCCAACTCAATATTTACAGTGGGCTAGGCTGCCGAGGCTATCGGGTTGTGACACTTGTGAAAGGGTCTCAATCGAGATCGACTTTTCGGGCCGCACAGAACTTGAGTGTTCGACATGAGCAGAAATCTTTGAGCGATACTGTTCCTGCTAAATGATGAGCTTTCTGTGTTCTGTCTTCTTTTTTTTTGTCCACTTTCAGGGGTCAAGTAAACGTAGTTCTTTTTTATAATTTCGGTGCAATACTTTCGGTGGATGCTGTCAATTCGTTTTTTTTTTTGCGTTATGGCTCTAACGATGTACCATAAACATCAGGGTGAAAGGAAAAATTTCACCATCTTAAAATAGCCACAACGCGTTTTCATATCTAACCGAAGAGGATCGCTTCAGTCGGGATCAGCCAACATCGCAATACTTCATTCTAGCCAGCAATTTGGCCAACAGCGTAGGCCAAACATGAAACAACATTTCAGCAAGAACCAGAATCAGAAGGGGTTTATCCAAATTATGACATCAGTAGAGTTGCATTATCAATGCCTTTTTGTGTCGATGTGTTTGCGCCGCAGGTGAAGGCGCATGTTATGACAAGTTGAGAATGTTTTATGGCAGACAGGGCAGGAGGTTAGGCCTCGGTGGAGCTCCATGTGGTTGCGCAGGCCGGCAGACCACCTGAAGCGTTTTCCACAGATGTGACACTCGGTGCCCGCCGGCGGTGGAGCCTCGTCCGCCAGTGGCTGCGGATAGAACCCTGAAACCGGCCACGGCGACTGTCAGAGGCGGGCGGACAGACGACTGTCAGAGGCGGGCAGACAGACGACTGTCAGAAATACTGTCAGAAATACTGTCAGCGGGGCTGGCAGATGGACCGGCGACTGTCAGAGGCGGGCGGACAGACGGCTGTCAGAGGCAGGCGGACAGACGACTGTCAAAAACCCTCAGAGGGACTGACAGATGGACCGGCGACTGTCAGAGGCGGGCGGACAGACGACTGTCAGAAATACTGTCAGCGGGGCTGACTGATGGACCGGCAACTGTCAGAAGGGCGGACAGACGACTGTCAAAAACCCTCAGAGGGACTGACAGATGGACCGGCGACTGTCAGAGGCGGGCGGACAGACGGCTGTCAGAAATACTGTCAGCGGGGCTGACAGACGGACCAGCAACTGTCAGCACGGCGACTGACAGTGGACCTGATACCGTAACTGCTGCTTAACCAGCAGTACCAACCAGCCCGGATTTTCATAGAACCGATCTGAGGTTGGCCAGCGCCAATGATCGCAGAAAAGTAATACATCAGAACTCAATCAACATGGGGAAAATGTGGTGATGGCAGTGGACCTCTGAAGGCTGACAGCACCTCTTGGAAACGCAAAGCCAAACTCGTTCGATTTCGCGATTAAAATTCATGAAACAAAAAACAAAGGTCCAAAAATTTTCTCAACCAAAGGTGGACTTTGATAAAATACTAAACATTCCTACCTTCAAAGAGCGAAGACCACGTGGTCAACTTGGATCTTTGTTCTAACCCTTTCCAAAAAAATAAAAACTAGATAAGGCTATCATTGTATAAGAACTTGTACACCGAAAACAAAAAACATCGCAGACGGAAAGCATCAGCATGCTTTAGGAACGATAAGCACAATGAGAGAATTTCCCCACAAAAATTAAATATCCAGAGCAGATAAGGCCCAATCTCTAACATAACACGTAAACGTCAGTGATGCTAAAATAGCGGGGAACGTCAGACTAAAAGATGGCAACGCGGACTGGGGCGCAAAATTTCCTGAATAAGTATAGCCTACATACATAACATTTGTTGCCTCACAATGTTTACACAGAAGTCGCTAGACTGCAATATGCACTGTCTTCGACTCACCCTGAATTCCTTAACTTAGTTACAAGGCTGATGGTAAAGAAAACGACGAACGTGAAGTTACACTCGTGGTTACAGCCAGGTTAACAACACCAACATCGCTGCACCTAAGTCCGAGTCTCACTAGTACCGAGTCTAGGTAAGTTATGGCACTGATACTGAATCACGACCGTGATTTAAGAACGTGCTACGGGTACAAATCACGACCATGTAGAACCAAAGTCAATAATCTAGTAGCGGTAGCACGGTGGAGAGCTGACATCTTGGAGCGCCCCGTGACGCAGCATTCACCGACAGAACTAACTGCCCTCCAATCTCCTCAGAGGTAGTTTGTCTTCAACTCCGGAAACCGCCGATCCATCACCTTAGAGCCGACCCAAACTCCGAGTGCGTCCTTCTCAGTTGCCCGGGACCGTGGTTGGCGGCCCAGCGGGGGGCCGCCGTCCCGACACTCCTCTCTGAGTCTCCCGATCAATGACTTCCCCATCCCCAGGAGCCGATCTCACTACAACCTCCTGAGCAGCGCCCTGCTCCGGCGCTGCGAGGTTGGCATCCCTCGAATGCACGTGTTCTATGTGGTATTTCAGCGAGCTTTTCGTGGCGTAGACTCGCGCGCAGTACGGGCAGCGGGTCTGGCCACGGTGCAGCTCCGTATGATTGGCGAGTCCCGTCTGGTGGCGGTAGCAGCGGCCGCACTGGCTGCATTGGAACGGGCCCTGTCCCGTCTCACGGCGTCCCACTGCAACGGAAGGCAACACGGACACCTTTGAGCAACGGCGGGACCGTGGCACTCGGCGACCCAATGAACACCGACCGGCTGCCGGGTCAACCGAGATAGCGTGTCGGCCACTTTACGGGCTCCGTACCGATAGGCCGTAAATTTTTCATGGTGATTAGAAATGTCCAAGAAACAAATTAATTCTACCCGTGGAGGGCGATGGAGTACTTGTGACACCGAAGCCTCATATGCCAAATAAACGTCAAGGGTAATTGGGGTGTTTTGGGCTACTTTCGCGAGTCTGTCACACTCCTAAAAGGCATCAAAAGACACCGATCGAATGACAAATTTATGGAACCGGGAAAGGAAAACTGAAGAGAATCTCCGTCTTTCGAGCATTGCCAATAGAGAAACAGCACTTCAGCTGAAGCCGAAAAAGGCCAGAGAGCGGATGACTTCCACCAGCACCCTCGAGTCCATCAATTGTCCCCGTTGAAGGTCTCATTCCTGACAAGTCTTCTACAACCAAGAAAACAGCCATGGTCACTACCTGGTTGTATTTATAATGGTCTACCTATAAAAGTTGGCACGAAATCAACTGACGACGGTCTAGCTACCTACATCAATATCCATAGTCTGCGGTTACTTTTACATAATGCAGAGGTACCATTGACGGTGGCAGATGGGTATAACCCAGCTTACAAACTGCTGATGCTAATTATTTACAACAGGAAGTGGGGCTAGACCGATGTAAAAATATAAGTAAACAATATCAGAAAGGGTCAAATATCTTGCATATTCTTATATGCATAAAAATATCTTGTATAAAATCAGCAAAGGAGATTCTACGACAAAAATAAAATAAAATTCATACAAGATAGCTCCATGAGACACCTCCTGGGTCCTCGTGTAAATACCTAAAAAGGGACTTGTCCTAGCCTGTGACAACGCCATCAAAAACTACACGACCGCGCGTGGGAGCACGTTTAAATACCACGATCTACACAAACTGTCCAATTACACAACCTATCGCTTTCTACATTTGTCAGGAAGACTCTACACCGATCATTTGAAACCTCGGTGAATCGTCTCCAAATGGATCTTCAGGTTGGTTTTGTTGGAGAAAATTTTCATGCACACTACACAAGTAGTCTCCCCGGTGTGTACTTTCTTGTGGGCCGTCAGAGCCGATTTTCGAACAAACTTCTTTCCGCAAAGTTCGCAGGCGCAACCGCCAGCGAGCGACCTGGCAGAGGCAACGCGCATTAACCCTGAAACAAAGCCGAGATCAATTAGAGGCTTACCACCATCAGTTTATTATGTTCATAGATCCATTAATTAAAAAGTATGTTTAATTGGGGGAAGCCACATTATTGTTTAGATATCGTAGCATCCCAAAATGTCACCATAATACATATCTCATCTTCCACATATCCAAGTGGTAAACGGTAATGTTCCAACGGCAAAATGTTGAATTGCTAACATTTGAACAGAAAGGTTGGGGGTACTTAGGCAAGTACGAGTATGCCGTTGTGAGCATGGATCCTGAAGACACATAACATGTGGAGAGCCAAAGAAGTCTAAAGATGTCCGAGATTGTTGATTACCTTATCAATGGACAAAGTTCATTTACCGTAACAGGCATAATAGTGGATTGCCTGTTCCCAACAGAAATGAAACAGAATAACTTTGATGCTGCGACTGGTCGTGGTAGATAGCAAAACAACACCATTACAATTCAGAAAATTACTGTTGGGCATGAAACAAAACTACATATATAACCAGACACTAAAACATCCTAGCTAGCTGATCCAAAGAACCACCAATTTCTCTAATACTCCGTTTCCAACTCGCAACCATCGAGCCATGGCTTACAAAAACACATGGATGAGGCACACATACATAGGTATATTTGAAAGGACACGTCTTCAAGCTCAGATCTCAACATTTGAACGACCACATAGAAGCCTGGAGCAATCATACCACTGCAAATAAGACCAGTCTGACTGCGCTAACTGCCCCACACATTGTCCGCACACACCTCCCCAGTCCACCCCATCAAACGCACCATCATGGCACGGCGCTGCCCAAAGGCAGCATTCCTGTGTGAGACAGGCTGGCTCCGCAAAGGTCACCAGGTTCAAAACAACACGTGGTACACTTAAAGGTAGTGTGCCAGCTTTCCTGGACCGTATGGAGTTAATGGCCCAGATAAGGAGAACCGGATTTTTAGAACTTATCCATACCTTCAAAACTCATGGAAACGTCTTAAATTCTTCAAATTTTGAGTACCCCAGTGCGAAATTCGCCCCGACGGGTTGTCGGTCGTACCCCAACCACATTTCACACCACTATGAACAATAAATGCACACACTGAAATCGCTATTACCGATATGCTCATCCAATCAAGTTTCGATAAACCCGTTCATCATCATCTCCTGCGGTTTCGAACACGCCTGTTAGGTGGTGCGGCAGACCGCGCCCAAAGCCAGGGCCCCGGTAACGTGAGGTAGCCGAGTCGGGGCAGCGTGCGCTGACCCAAGCCGGGGCCGCGCGTCCTCCCGGTGTCATGTGATAGCCCGGGGCTGCCCGCGGGGATGCGGTAGACCGCGCCCAAAGCTGCGGCCCCGGCTTGGGTCAGCGCACGCTGCCCCGACTCGGCTACCTCACGTTACCGGGGCCCTGGCTTTGGGCGCGGCTTCCGCTCATACTTTGTGGTGCGGTGGTGGTGCGTCGGGCCGCGCGCTCTGACTTCGGCCAAGAAAAATGCGTCAGCTGATCATTGTCATTTCTGCCACTTGCGTGTGGTGAAATGGGGTCATAACTTAAGAGACGGCTTTTTCATATCAATTATTTTACATAAAATCATATTTCAAACCATAAATAATGTTCGACAGCCAAATTAAAGAAACAATACCAATACAGGTTTACAGTTTAAGGCTCGACATTGTGTTGTCTACGATTAGACAGCTGATAACTCATTCCCGTACGTCGTAACTCTATAATGACCTTTGCTTATTGTCACATGTGCGCCGCATTCGCGATTGTTGCCGACGCCTGTTTACAGGTCAGCCCACTACAGTTGTTATACATATCGAAAAACCGATAAACTTTTAGGCGAAAAAGGCACTATTCCAGGCCCATTTTTGATTTTTTT